ATTTTGCTTTGTTACATCAAAATCTTTTTCGTATTGGATGCAAATATCCTAAACGGATGACTATTTTCAGCATGAGTGAATCTTTTGATAGGTAGTTTTAGACTAAAAACGTGCTCCTTTATGAAAATATAAAATTTCAATATGATATTTTTGCGATTTTAGAGTATAAAAATATCAGCTTCGTTGGCCTGACAATGATGCGTGTTATGTGGAGTAAAAGCCAAGTTTACTTTCCAATGCGTCGAACTTCAAACGAGGATCCCGCGACAGAAAACCGCAAAGCGGATATCGAAAAGTGATCCTGAGAAAAGAAAGAGAAAAAGAGAAATCGAAAGCATTCAAGCACACGAAGTGAAAACTTGTTCGACCATGAAGAACAGCTCGCAGTAGTACTGGCACGTAGTTACTTGCTAACGCATTTCTTCGAGAATCGTTACAGCGAGCATGACACCGCAAGTATATCAGAAGGCAAACGAACGGAAGTGTAAGCGTTGCACGTTTTGCCAAAAGATCGATATCGTCATGAAATTCGAAATTGAATTTTCCGCTGGATCCTTGTTTTTCCGTTTCAGGTCCGAGACAAATAAAATTAAAAATAATTCATTTAAAAAAACTTTGTCCAATTCTATTTTCAGAATTCCTCATGTTTTATTTACTAATCGGATATGCATTATCAATATCGTATATTCGATCGATATTAAAAACATAAATCGTCTAAGATCGATATTAAAAACATAAAATGTCTAAGAAGGTATATCATGTGTACAATATTGCTCTTTTTTTCTTTGCGCATCGAAATCAAATTAAAATAAATCCATTTATCTTGAAAAGACAACGAAACAAATCATATCATTCTTTATTTAATTTTTCTTTCGTTTTAACTCTTGAGAATTATTTACTACTAGGATCGAAAGATAAAAAGTGGAAACTGATTCGACGTAAGATTTTCTATAAAGGGAGAGAAATCACTCCAAAATTTATCAGCAAGTCTGTCGTAGGAGATTATGTAGTACCTGAAACTCCCTGTGTAATTGGAGCGAATACGAATATCAGAGAAGGGCAAGGCAAGATTTATATCGGCATTATTACCGCATTTAATCTCAATTAGTCAGTCATGTGCAAGTTCTAGACCAAATTTACGTACGAGACCCGGCACCATTCATGAGTCACACTAGTTCACAGCTGATAGCATAAATCAGCGAATAAATACTCGACATGTGTAACATGTATCTATTCTATATTTGCAAAAGGTTTAAAAGAAACGTAATTATCAATAAATCGATATTATAATCGCATGTAAATCCGACTAAATCTTAGCCATCATATTTCGATAACGTAATCGTTTTCGATCGGAATTATAAGACTTATTATTTATATTTAATTCGAAAATATTATTTTTTTAAATTCCCATTATTAGAAAAATTGTAATTTCTGAAATCGCTATCACTTATCTAACTACCTCGAGAATATATTCCAAGACTCAATCTTGAGCCTGACGTCCGAAAGTTTCAAGTCAGCAGAGGTGAATAATATCAATCGCGTATATACGCGAAATTGGACGGTTACCACGTGAATTATAGACGGTATATACGCTGCGTTTGCACATGCAGTTGCTAAGTAGACGAAAGCATCGTTGCATCGGAAAGGGGCCAATGGAATTGAGCGCTTGTTCGCATGTTTCCAAGGACCGCACACTCGGAAACTATTCCGATTATTCCGCGTGCTCGAGTTACGTCGAAATGCCAAAGCTTGGCCACATACAGAGAGACGGACGAATGAAAGAGATGCAAGAGCAAAGGCATCCACACTAGTTACTACCATGGCGTTAACAGCTCCGATCGAACGCTTCGCGTCTCGCCTCGGAGGGAAAATACGTCTCTCTTGAAAGCGACTATTGCACCGATTCCGGAAATGTAAAAGTCGACGCGACATTATGTTTTCGGTCGGAAACGCTATATATGTTTTTTTAAAATCCGGTAGAGAATGTCTGTTCTCTTCATACACGAAAAAAAAAAAAAAAAAACACTCTTCCGTCGGGATTTTTTATTACGGAATTTTTTATTACACTTTTTCCTTTTTCGTAACGAAACATTTTTCCCAAAAGAATTCGCAAAAGAGTGTGATTCTCGATTATATGATTTTCAGAACGTTGAGAGAATCTTTGATTAATTAATATAGTAGATTGATTAGCATTAGATTAATATATATTTTATGCAAGCATTTAACAGGACAATATATTGGAATGATTATTAATATATAAACGTCTGAGTTGAATCAATTGATGTAGCTTGATGCAAGGGTAGAAAACTTTATATTTCTTTAAACTAGAATTTAACGCTTGAATAAAGATCTAATTTTTAGTACGCATTTTTAGTATGCAACTTTAATATATATATATATATATATATATATATATATATATATATATTAAAGTATTTTTGACATTGCTTTATGGCAAATATATATATTTGCCATAAAGCAATGTCAAAAATAATATATAATATAATAAATAATTATTATATTTAAAATAAAACTTTAATAAAAAAATATAATATAATAAATAATAATCCCATTTTAAAGGACTCACTCAAATATCTCAGAAACACTGCGACGAAAAATCGAACTTAATCGAAAATCGACTTAAATCGAAAAATGTTTCAAACAAAAGTTGTGTAGCTTCAAGGAGACCATAAGATGGTGACAATGATTTGACCTTGGAAAATCATTTGAAGTCATGTGAAGGTCAACTTTAAAATCTTAAACGGAAACCCACATTTTTTATTTGGTATTCTTGTAGCTAACATCAAGAGCTTTCCAAAACACTATAATTAAATGTTTTTCCATTAAGTACTTTTCGAGTTATAAAACTTGAAATAATATCTTAATTTTACATAAACCATAAAATATCTAGTAAAATATTCATTTTTCGATTATCTTACTTTAATATTTTTATGTACAAAATAATGAGAGGAATCAATTGGTGTAAAGAAAAAACATAATTGTTTCGAAGAAAAAATATGTAATTTGCAAATTACATATTTCTTCTATAATTCCGATGGCAACAATTTTTCATATCTTGATAGAAATGCTAAAGATGTTACTGTATCAAGCGGATGTCAACAGCCAATGTATAGTTCGAACCACTATGCAATCAGTTCTTTAGGTTTTAGCACAAATGCTACAGGTACTCTTACAACTAGCCACAACAATTTTTCATATCTTGACATAAATGCTGAAAATGTTGCTGTATCAAGCAGATGTCAACAGCCAACGTATGGTTGGAGCCACTATGCAAGCAGTTCTTTTTCAAGTTTCTAGCACAAATGTTATGAATATTTCTACAATGAGCCATCAATCAATACACGATTGGTATCAACTTGATAATTTACTGATATAGTTTAAGCATTAAACAATATAACATAAAATTATATTATAATTGTAATATAATCCATAATTTTATGAATATATTTGTTTATTATCTATTTATCAGATACCGTCAAAGATATAATTTTATTTATATTTTTCATATCATTTCTATCTATAGTTTGTTATATATGTTATACATAACATTTCTAAAATATTATATACATCATGATCTACTACTAATTTTGCGAAAATTATTTTTTAATTATATGAACATATTATATGAACGAAGTTATTTAAACAGATATTGGATTTTGATTGTATCTTCAATTTCTGACGTGTGTAATGCATTAATAGTAATAAAGAAATTAATAATACACAATTTATTCAATCCCTTCCCAAAATAAAACGATATAATTAATTATATTATAAGGTTATATTATATAAACATATAATATAACCTCTTGATTTATAATTATTCCAATACATATACATACACATAAATATATATGTACATACACACACACACACACACACAATATTATATAATCTTCGATTAATATTCCGCAACTCTCTGTTTCTTATGAACGTGATAGTATAAATCATTTTAACGATAAGAAAATATCGATTAATTCTTTCTAAGAAATATCTTACACAAAAATGATAGTTTTTTATATTTGCGTCTATTATAATATTGAGTCTTTGCTTGTTGCGCTAGTTGATATATTTTCATAAAAATAATCGCGTGTTTTTTACCAATTAATTTCTCTCATTATTCTATACATAAAAATATTAAGAAAAATGATCGGGAAATATTTATGAGATATTTGTATGATATTTATGAGATATGAGTGTATGTAAACTTATGTCAACTTAGAATATAAAAATATCTCGTAAACTAATTAATTTTTGACTATGCTTAATAATATTTTACGCAGAATATTGAAAGGAATCGATTTATATAGATAAATTAGTCCTATTTAAAAAAATAGATTGACTTTCACATAGTCTTAGAACTTACATTCTAATATTCTTATCTTTTTACCACTTTCAAACTTTACAACTTTTATTTTAAATATTTTTCCCATAAACACCATACTTTTCAATTATAAACGTATGACTGTTAAAGTAGAACACTCTGTGTATATATATATATATATATATATATATATATATATATATATATATGTACATACGTATGTATGTATGTATGTATGTACATAAGTACTTCGAGTAATAACAATATTCTGTTCATAACTTTTGCTTTGTTATCTACCCGATTTACGTAAATAATTTTAACGGAAAAAGTCGTTGTTAATTCCTTGTAAAAGAAATTTTGCACAAAATTGGCAGCTTTTAATATTTGCGCTTATTATAATATTTCAATACATCTGTAATCTTTCTACAAATGATGAGATTATTAACAGTGAATAAGCTATTAATCGTAAAACTTGCTAGACAAATTTCGATCGTGTATCAATATTTACATTTATACAAAGAATCATATATACGTGTTTTTATGATCTTCCTCTGTTTCTTTTATCAGTTTCTATATTTTTCGTCGAAATGATTTCATTTGAATTTAGTCGTATACAATCTGTGATACAAAATGGATATCATGCTAAGAAACACAACGGCATCCTATATTTGGGCGTATTTTACGATAGACATTAATAGTGCAGAGGGCAAGTGCAAAATTTGTGGCAAAGTTTATATTTTAAATAAGAAATACGACAATATAAAATATCATATAAGAATTAAACATCCAAATTGTGTCCCCTCTAAAAGTACAGAAATATGGCCTTTTTTTATAATACAAAAGCATCAAACGGCATGTGATATTTGTAATAAGACGTATGATATAAAATATAATGGATCGAGAAATATGAAACATCACTTAAAAAATGCGCATAATATAGAGATAGAAAATCAAGACTGGATGTTACATTACAATTACACTATATCAAATGAAACAATGGAGTGCAACTATTGCAAAATAATCTTTCAAAATGATGTTAAACATAACTATTTCAATGCAATTAAACATTTCAACGATGCTCATCAAATCGCTGGAAGAGCTTTGGAATTCAGATCGACGAGGTAAGACTAATGACAATAAACTGAATATTACTATTTTATCCTTTCTGAATTATTTATATGTATTTTTGTATAACATATGGAAAGTTACATATAATAAAATTCTAAAATTTAGATACTTAACACGTTTATCATAAAGATTATGTATATTTGGATAAATTTCTTTTTTAAATTTACACACATATGTGTATATATATATATATATATATATATATATATATATATATATATATATGTATGATTGGATTACAACCTAAATAGTTTATTTAATTCTTGATAGAAATGCTGAAGATGTTGTTGTACCAAGCGGATGTCATCAGCCCACATATAGTGGGAACTACTATGGAATCAGTTCTTTAGGTTTTAGCACAAATACCACAGATACTCTTACAACTAGCTACAACAATTTTTCATATCTTGACAGAAATGCTAAAAATGTTACTGCATCAAGCAGATATCAACAGCCAACGTATGATTGGAACCACTATGGAATTAGTTTTTTAAGTTCTGGCACAAATGATACAGATATTTCTAGCACAAATCCTATAGATACTTCGATAACAAGCCATCAACCAATACACAATTGTTATCAATTAGATTATTCAGGGCCGGATTTAAATATGTGGAGGCCCTGGCTCAACTAAGAGGTGGAGACCCCTAACCATTTTTAAACCAAAATTAAATAGAAGTTTTTACGTTGTTTAAATAATTTATTTTGAAATAACAAGGTCAAGCAATATACATAGACCTTTTAAGTGTTGTATACCATTTGATAGGAAATTTTACCCAAAAATTTGTGGTGTGGATAACCTTTTCTTGTACAGGCCCCTGGGCTTCAGCCCCTGTTGCCCTCCTCTAAATCCGATCCTGTGATTATTCATATCTTAAAAATATTAATTAAGCAGTTCTTAACCGGACTTTGAATATGAGGATTTTTGCGCGATCAAAGATATGTTAAAAGAAAATGAATAAGAAAATAGAAGAACTAATGTTTCTTGTGAATGTGAATTATTTACATTGCTTTTTACTCCAGACTGCAGCCAATCTACGGTTGTTAATGTAGCATTAAATAATATAATATGAAATTATAATTACATAATTTTAGGAATGCATATTATCTATTTATCAAATACTGACAAAGATATAATTTTATTTATATTTTTCATATCATTCGTATCTAATTCGTTACATATGTTATATATAACATTTCTGAAATATTACATAGTTTATTATGATTTTAAGATAGCATTAAACAATATAACTTAAAATCTTAATATAATCTAGAAATTTATGAATATTTGTTTATTTATCAAATACCGACAAAGATATAATTTTACTTATATTTTTCATGGTATTTGTATCTAGAATTTGTTAATTCATATTTCTATATGTTAACATAATATTTCTCATATGTTACATATATCATAATTTATTACTGATTCTGATATAGCATTAAACAGTATAACATAAAAAATAACAATATAACATGAAATTATAATTGTAATATAATCCATAATTTTATGAATATATTTGTTTATTATCTATTTATCAGATACCGTCAAAGATATAATTTTATTTATATTTTTCATATCATTTCTATCTATAGTTTGTTATATACGTTATACATAACATTTCTCAAATATATACATCATAATCTACTACTAATTTTGCGAAAATTATTTTTCAAACATATTGTATGAACGAAGTTATTTAAACAGATATTGGATTTTGATTGTATCTTCAATTTCTGACATGTGTAATGAATTGATAGTAATAAAGAAATTAATAATACACAATTTCTTCAATCCCTTCCCGAAATAAAACGATATTATTACATATATTATAAGGTTATATTATATAAACATATAATATAACCTCTTGATTTATATTTATTCCAATACATATACATACACATAAATATATATGTACACACACACACACATAATATTATATAATCTTCGATTAATATTCCGCAACTCTCTTTTTCTTATAAACGTGATAGTTTACGTAAATTATTTTAACAGAAAATATCGATTAATTCTTTGTAAAAGATATCTTACACAAAAATGATATTTTTTGATATTTATATCTATTATAATATCTATTATTATATCTATTATAATATTAAATCGTTGCTTGTTGCGCTAATTGATATGTTTTCTTAAAAACAATTACGTGTTTTTACCAATTAATTTCTCTCATTATTCTACACGTAAAGGTATTAAGAAAAACGATCGGGAAATATTAATGAGATATTTTATAGTGTATGTAAACTTATGTCAACTTAGAATATAATAATATCTCGTAAACTAATTAATTTTTGACTATGCTTTATAATATTTTACGCAGAATATTGAAAGGAATCGATTTATATAGATAAATTAGTCCTATTTAAAAAAATAGATTGACTTTCACATAGTCTTAGAACTTACATTCTAATATTCTTATCTTTTTACCACTTTCAAACTTTACAACTTTTATTTTAAATATTTTTCCCATAAACACCATACTTTTCAATTATAAACGTATGACTGTTAAAGTAGAACACTCTGTGTATATATATATATATATATATATATATATATATATATGTACATACGTATGTATGTATGTATGTATGTACATAAGTACTTCGAGTAATAACAATATTCTGTTTATAACTTTTGCTTTCTTATCTACCCGATTTACGTAAATAATTTTAACGGAAAAAGTCGTTGTTAATTCCTTGTAAAAGAAATTTTGCACAAAATTGGCAGCTTTTAATATTTGCGCTTATTATAATATTTCAATACATCTGTAATCTTTCTACAAATGATGAGATTATTAACAGTGAATAAGCTATTAATCGTAAAACTTGCTAGACAAATTTCGATCGTGTATCAATATTTACATTTATACAAAGAATCATATATACGTGTTTTTATGATCTTTCTCTGTTTCTTTTATCAGTTTCTATATTTTTCGTCGAAATGATTTCATTTGAATTTAGTCGTATACAATCTGTGATACAAAATGGATATCATGCCAAGAAACAAAAGGGCATCCTATTTATGGGCGTATTTTACAAACGACATTAATAGTGCAGAGGGCAAGTGCAAAATTTGTGGCAAAGTTTATACTTTAAATAAGAAATATGACAATATAAGAGATCATATAAGAATTAAACATCCAAATTGTGTCCCCTCTAAAAGTACAGAAATATGGCCATTTTTTATAATACAAAAGCATCAAACGGCATGTGATATTTGTAATAAGACGTATGATATAAAATATAATGGATCGAGACATATGAAACACCACTTAAAAAATGCGCATAATATAGAGATAGAAAATCAAAACTGGATGTTACATTACAATTACACTATATCAAATGAAACAATGGAGTGCATACATTGCACTCCATTAAAAGTAATATTTCAAAATGATGTTAAACATAAGTATTTCAATGCAAAGAAACATTTAATCGATGTTCATAAATTCACTGGAATATCTTTGGAATTTAGATCAACGGGGTAAGACTTATGACAATAAGCTGAATATTACTATTTCATTTCTTTTAAATTATTTATATGTATTTTTGTGTAACATATGTAAAATTATACATAATAAAATCGTAAAATTTAGATATTTAACATATTTATCATAAAGATTATGTATATTTGGATAAATTTCATTTTTAAATTTACATACACACATATGTATATATATATATATATATATATATATATATTTATATATGATTAGATTACAATCTAAATAATTTATTTAATTCTTGATATAAATGTTAATAAAGATGTTATTATATCAAGCAACTATCAGTCAATCTATAATTCGGATGACAACAATTTTTTCTATCTTGATAGAAATGCTGAAGATGTTGCTGTATCAAGCGGATGTCAACCGCCAACGTATAGTTTGGACCATAATGGTTCTAGCACAAATGCTGTAGATACTTCTACAACGAACGATCAACGACACAATTGTTATGCCTTTGATAATCTTATCTGTAATCTTGAAAATACTGAATCAAATAGACCTCTGTCTCCTTCTGAATATCTATATTATATTTACGAGCTCGAGGAGATGTTAAATAAAATTGAATAAGAAAATAGAAGAATTAATTAAAAAGGTTGTCGCTCTTTATCTTTGGAGATGTTGAGTTGTCTTCATTTGTCTCCGGTTCGTCACTGATTTCGACGCCTGGAAGCATCGTCAAAATAATGAGATACCGAAGCATTTATTATTACTAACGCCATATTTTCCAATTATGAATGTGTGAGTATTAAAGTGGAACGCTGTGTGTGTGCGTGAGTGCGTGTGTGTATGTGTATAGAGAGTATTCTACTTTAACATATATATATATATATATATATATATATATATATATATATAATTGTATTTATGTATGTAACCTAGGACTAATAATAATATTTCGTAGCTTTCTTATCTACCTGATAGTTTACTCAAATAATTTTAACGGAAAAAATCGTTGCTAATTCCTTGTAAAAAATATTTTGCACAAAATTAGCAACTTTTAATATTTGCGCTTTATGATATTTCACTCTTTCTGCAAACAATGATTATTAACAGTGATAAACAATTAATCGTCAAACTTACTAGACAAATTTCGATCGTGTATCAATATTTACATTTATACAAATCTTATATACGTTTTTTTATAATCTTTCTGTGTACTTTCTTTTATCATTTTCTATATTTTTCGTCGAAATGATTTCATTTGAATTTAGTCGTATATAATCTATGACACAAAATGGATATCATGCTAAGAAACAAAACGGTATCCTATATTTGGGCGTATTTTACAAAAGACATTAATAATGAGGAGGGCAAGTGCAAAATTTGTAGCAAAGTTTATACTTTAAAAAGGCAATACCACAATGTAAAAGGTCATATAAGAGAAAAACATAATTTTGTTCCCTCGAATAGTACAGAAAAATGGCCTTATTCTATAATACAAAAGCATCAAACAAAATGTGATATTTGTAATAAGAGGTATAATATCAAGTATTATGAATCGGATTGCATGAAACACCACTTAAAAAATGCGCATAATATAGAGATAGAAGATCAAAACTGGATGTTAGATTACAATTACACTATACCAAATGAAACAATGGAGTGCATACATTGCAACATAAGCTTCCAAAATGATGTTAAACATAAGTATTTCAATGCAATAAAACATTTAATCGAACATTTTACTCATCAAATCGCTGGAAGAGCTTTGGAATTCAGATCAACGAGGTAAGACTAATGACAATAAACTGAATATTACTATTTTATCCTTTCTGAATTATTTATATGTATTTTTGTGTAACATATGTAAAGTTATATATAATAAAATTCTAAAATTTAGATGCTTAACACGTTTATCATAAAGATTATGTATATTTGGATAAATTTGTTTTTTAAATTTACACACATATGTGTGTATATATATATATATATATATATATATATATATATGTATGATTGGATTACAACCTAAATAGTTTATTTAATTCTTGATAGAAATGCTGAAGATGTTGTTGTACCAAGCGGATGTCATCAGCCTACATATAGTGGGAAGCACTATGGAATCACTTCTTTAAGTTTTAACACAAATACCACAGATACTCTTATAACTAGCTACAACAATTTTTCATATCTTGACAGAAATGCTGTTGTATCAAGCAGATGTCAACAGCCATCGCATGATTGGAACCACTATGGAATCAGTTT